CCTTTGTGTGTCATAATGTTGGCATGTGCACATCCGTTGGATTCATCCTAATCTGGTAGTATCCCGACTTAAGATTAATTTTCAAGAAAACGACTACCCCATAAAGCTTATCTAGCAGCTCATCACAAGAATAGGAAATTAATCCAACACTGGCTCCTTGTTCCGTGCAGAACCTCCAACTATCATTTTTTTCTTCACCAACAGGACTAGACTGGAGAAATGGCTCACACTAGGTCTGACAATCCCCACCTCAAACATCTCTCGCATCAATTTTTTTAACTCATCCTTTTGAATCTGGGGATACCGATATGGCCTGAATCTAATAGGAGGACCCCCCTCCTTCAATGTAATAGCGTGCTCGTGCTCCCTCGGGATTGGTAACCCGTTTCGCAGCTGAAAGACAATCATAAACTGCTATAGGAGTTGTTGGACCCTTCCGGAAAAAATTGCCCACCCTGGACCTCAGACCTCCCCAATGCTCCGCAACTCCACCAAGTAGCCCATCGTTGCTCATCATATCAACTTCATCATCATTTTAAGCGACACCATGGTTTTGCATAAACTAGCATCATCTTCCTACCTTCCATCTGGAACTCCATCGTCAGGGATTTCCAGTCCACCTTCATCTCCCCAAGCTTCTGCAGCCACATTAGTAACAGAATTACATATGTGATGCCCAAATCCAAGGGAAGGAAGTCATCCACCACCTGTAGGCTATTTAGTGTTAGAACCAACCCCTTTAAAAGTCCTCGACTTTTTTCCACCATCCTTGTCCTCATCATGACGTCGAAGCTCTCTAGGGTCACCAACTCTAACCCTAACTGATCCACGACCTGATTTGAGATAAAGTTATGTGTGGCCCCAATATCCATCAACACCGAAATTGGTTCTTTTCCAATCCATCCCCTCACTTTCAAGGTGTGATTCGAAGTAAATTCCGCCACCGAATTTAGGGACACCTCTGCAACATCGAAGTGTAGATGCTCCTCCTCTGCATCCTCCTCTGCATCCTCCTCTGATTCCTCACCCTCTATCTCCTCCTTCTATACTAAAAGGATCTGAAGGGCGTGATCCTTGCAACAATGGTCTGGGGCATATTTATCGTCACAACGATGACAAAATCCTTTTGTTCTTTTATCTTACACTTCTGCATCGGTGAGACATTTGAAATTTTCCTCGAGACAGGTCCCTGTATTCTTCTCCTTCGGCGTCTCTTTCTGAAATAACATCGTCGGAGCCCTCAGTATCATAATTGTCAAGGCACTCTTGTAGAATCCTCCTGTGCTGTCATCTTTGCTGACATTTTCACTTGTTTCTTGTCCTCCATCATCCTGGGGAGATCTATAATTTCCCTTAATCCACACGGTCTTAAGGGTCGAATGGTTGCTAGCATCTCAGGCTTCAAGCATTTCAAGAACTTCCCTTCTAGTCCTGCTATAGAAAATACCCCTCAACCTATCTGACAAAAGCTCGAACTTCTCCCTGTATTCTTAATAGTTCCCTCCTTAGAGTATAGAATTACTCGTGTAAGTGTCCATCCAAAATGACTCAGAAACGCTCCAACGAACAATCCTTAAATCCTCACTAGTGCACTGGATACATTCACTCCATCCACGGGAACTAAGCTAAAGTTTTTCTTTCCAAACATAATCTTGCCGTCATAAGCTTCTCTTCCTCAACTAACCCATTGACTGCAAAGTATCCCTCCACCTGATACACCCACCGATGTGCATCTTCCCCTTCGAAGATAGGCATCTTCAGTTTTCTGACCCTTGCATCTCCACACCAACACTTCCTCTTCCTCCGGTGTTTCCCCCCATGTATCTCAGTTGAAACTCCCTCCTTCGATCATAGTCATACCCCACTCCTGATTCCTTCCTTCATCCTCAATGCTCTTTCGAGCCCCTGGCACCATCCCTCTTCCAATTTTCGACCCAACCCCAGGAAGTCTCCACTCCCCCTCCTCTTGGAGTCCTAGGGGGGCACTCTTGGTGGTAAATGAGGTCTTCCTCGTTGTCATCACGTTCGATCTCCTTCCCTTTTGATCTGATCAAGGATTTCTTAACCAAGGGTTGATCAACTTGAGCGGTCGGTATGGCCTTAGACTGCATCTCCAAGAGCTTCTTCATCATCTCTCACATTTCTCCTATACTCTCGAATCCGTCCACCATTCAGCTCTCTATGGAAAAAAACGTGTTCTCCATAGAGGCGAACCTTTCTTCCATTCTCGATTTGATTTGCCCAACTTCTTCTAGCACATCCACTTTCTTTATTGTCATCCCTCCAAGAACTTGCTTCTAAAACTGATTGGATACAATCCAAAACCAAAATCAGCAAGCAAACATCGATGAAATAATAATAGGTATGTGGAATAACTCAAACGAGGGCTACTCCTACGAAAATCAAAGAAAAACAAGATACAAGGGTGATTTACTATTCAAGAGTTAGATCGTTTCTCCCACAACCCTAGACGGCGCTATGGACACCACAGAAAGAAATGAAAAACTGCAGTTAACAAAATATGCATAAAGAAAAAGCAAACCATTAGTTATTAGCCTTAATATAATCTTCTCACAACACTTCAAACTTTCCCCCATAAACTTTTCCTCCAAACGCCTCTAATTTCTCCTCCATGCATGCGAGATTAAAGCCCTCACGGGGCCATCCCATTCACTAGATAGTCTAGTAGCAGCTTCCTGCTTGATGAATTGTGTCGTCGCTGCTCCCAACTTGTTGGATCGTGCAATCGCTGCTCCCTACCCCGCTTGATGCTCCTCCTGAATCGTTCGACTCTTCGACAATATGGGTGGGCCACTCTTTTATTGCTCGATCAGTCCCGCCTGGCCCAGTTGAGTTACAAGCATAAGTGCATAACAAACTTCTTCACAAATTTTAACTAGACTTGAAGAAATATGTTTGATATGCATTGAATTTGTAGTTTGTATTGATTTAGTTCTTGGATTCAATTTCAAATGTTAGGCTTATTAGCAGGAAAATAGGCTCAAGTTTAGGTTGAGTTAGGGCTTACTTCTATTAAAAAGCACACAATAATTAAACTGGAGCTTACATGCATTAAAAATCTCAACATTAGATGTGGTAGTTTATTGGCTTTGCCCAGACCCCAATTGGTTAAGATGGGACTTGCAATCATTGGCAGCCCAATTAAATAGGTTTAATTTGATTAGTGTGCTGGTTTTGTGCTGACTAGAATAATCAAGATAAATTTACATCCATCAAAAGGATAATCAATAATCAATTAAGTTTTTGAGTGGCATATAATACTGTCAATTAATTTAATTTGAAAAATGAAACTTAGTGCTCTATTTCTGAGTTTCCTCGAGAGTCGGAGGTTATAACCAACATAATTTGATTAGTGTGATGGTTTTGCGCTGATTGGATTAATCGATATAATTTTACAACCATAAGAAGGGCAATCATACATCAATTAAGCCTTTGACTGGCATATAATATTTTTAATCAGCTTAATTTAAAAAATGGGATTTGTGCTCTATTTGTGAGTTTCCCGGTGAGCCCGGGGTTATAATCCTGGCTTTTGACATACCTGGATTGACTACATATAACTCAGATATCGGAAACAGCCCAAAATTGGGTCACACGTAGCATAATTATTATTATAGTTAATATGGAAGGGTTTTACAGCTAATTAATTATTAAAGTAAATCTTTTCTTTTATTTCTTTCTTAGGGGAAATTTAGCCACTAAGTGGCCTAGGTGTTAATAGGTATTTGCCTATAATTACCCAATAATTCTACTAGGAAAAGTTATTTCAGAGTTAATTTTCAAATTGTCAAGTTGAAGCTGAGTTTTCTTGCCCTTAATGGAGAATTATCTCCTACGGTAATGGAGATGATACCATAGTTTAGTCTTAGACTCAAATCTTGGACAATTATCTCCTACGGTAATGCTTGTTAGCTAAAACCGTTCCAATGATAGTAAAAACTTCAGGTTATATTAACAAGGAAGAAGTTCATAATTTTCTGATTCAACTTCATAGCTTTGCATGCTGCAAATAAGCAGTCAAATCTAAATTTGATCACTGAATCAATAATTTTAGGTTTCATAATTTTCTGATTCAGATTTATACCTTCCTAGTTTATTTTTGCCCGCCTATTCTCCAAACTCTTCACAAAAATAGGTTGCTCTCATACACACAGCAACCTCATCCATTCTCCTATTAAAAAGTAAAATCCACCTACTCTCTTGCTTTGTCATCCTTATTTATTCTCTATACCTGTCTGTAATAATTACTCCCAGGATTTAATTTTCATGATTTTGGTTGAGTCTACTTGCCCTTCGATTCTCTATAACCTTCACGCTTGACAATTTGGTTGATTATGACGACACTAACTCCTTTTTTTTTTCTTTTTGCAAGCCAATGACTCAAGTTAATTATCCACGCTACCAAGGGCCCATTTTCTAAAATATCCCAAGAACCAACCCTAAATCATCTCAAACTCGTGACACTAATAAACTACATCACTGCCATCATCAAGAATACAAATCATGTAATTCATCCACATCTACATTCGTGTTGCATAGAAATGATATCATGGCAAAATGATAACAAGAATGGTTGCAGTAAATCAAAGACCTTGATCTCCACTGTGCATCAAAAATGTTTATTCATGCTTATTTGAGGAAGTTTTAAGATCACGCAGAGATATTTTACTTACCAGGTATGTTTCTTTGGAAAGATTAACAAAACATTTGAATTAAGCATTAGCCGATTTTCCAGAAAGAAATTTTCACTTTCAATCGGAGAATTGAATTAATTTTTTTTGAATTATGGTTAAAATAATCGCATGGGGAATCCGCCAAATGAATGGACAACTAGAAAAGAATCCAAATTGTTATTAGCAGGATGTTATTGAAAAATCACACTAATGAACAAGCCTTAAAGTTTGAAGGAAGCAGAAAAAGAGAAAGTAATGACAAATAATGAATGAAAAAGCATGCGGACTAAGGCATCAATGAATTACCTGCGATGGATGCAACCCAATGACAGTGCAATAGAACAACTATAGTTTGAATCGGTTGTTGATACAAGCTCCCCAAGTAGACTCTTTGTCTAATCAAAATAAATAAAAGCCTGAACTAAGATAAAGCGTTGAATAAACTGATTGATGCAGAATCAGCTTGAATAATACCCCATATGTTACAGTTTGATTAGTGTCACTAGAGAAATTAACAGAGGTCGGTGAGACTACTAGATAATCATTTTATAGACATTCTAAAAAATAATAACAAAAAACTTGTCACGACAAAAATATGCAATGGGTACCAGACCTCAAAAAATTTAACATTATAAATGCATTCATACTGATAAAAAAACAATGAGAACTACAGAACAGCAAGGATTTATGTGGACAGACCATCCTAGCTGTAAAGATGTCACCCCCAAGACGAGCTAACAGCCCAAGTCCTTCGGCACTTGCTCTCCGCTGAGCTGAAGTGATTTCACCTTCAGCCAAAATGCCCTTTTCAGAGGGAAACAGATTAGAAAAATAAAGTAAGCATGATTAGCATCATAACCCAGATTATAAATAAGAGGCATTTACATACATAACACACCATATTCTTATGAATTTAATAAACTCATACCTAAACTTTCATATTTATACATAGCACATAAATCTTCAATATCACACCAAACCACTATTACCACTTTTTCTAAAAGTGAAATGCACATTTTCATACGTAAGTTTAATATACGTAAGTTTAAAGCACCAAAGTGCTATGCATGTAAATGTGAAGGTTTGGGGGTGGGTGTGAGATATGTAAATACATAACAATTGTGCGCTAGGTATGTAAATTTTCCTATAAATAAATACACGTGCACACAGAGGTAAAAACACTCATATACAAAGAATGTATCTTTTCATTTGCATCAATCCCTATATATGGATAGGCATATTCTTCAGTTCAAGGAAGAAATGTGCTTCTTTTGGGATAATAGAACTCCTCCATTTAATTTGCCAGGCTTATGGACCAAAATTTAAAATCAAAATCAAGTATCATGTGAGTGCATGTTTACATCCATCATCACGCACTGTGTGAAGGTTTTCAAGATGGACTGATTACATTGCAAAACAATAGAACATTGACTTTTCCACCATGGGCTTTTGCAACACATCATCACGCATAAAAGCATATTATGTGCACACCATATTAGCTGCTTTCTTATTTCTTCAAGGGTAGACATTTTTATCTTGACTAAGCCTATAAAGATAAATAGGAAAAAGGGTCTTCTAATTCAAATGTGATGAGTGGAACTTTTTGAGTTATAATTCAATAAAAATTTAGCCTTATGAGTTCTTGAGAATTTCCATCACCTTCTTTGTGCTTTAAGAATACAATGCCTTGCCTTGAGGATTCAACAAACCGATATCTTGAGAAATTGACTACAATGGCTTTTGGAACCACTGTGTCGGACCCCATGGGTCTCCAAAACAAATTTTTTTTTTTTTTTTTTTTTTGCCTCTTGTTAATTAAAAAAAAAATCTATAAATTTTAATCATTTAGGCTATCGCGTGTTAACTGGAACCAGCAAAGGTCACTCACGACTTCATGATCTGCATCAACATATCTATGGAGCTTTCAAATATGTATTTTTAGGCTCGTGTTTCATGTTTCTCGCAACCATCAATTTCGCTAATACCTAAAACACAACAAAAGCAACATATATAAACCTAGAGTAACTAACAATTGGGCCCACTCCAGTTAAGCGGCAATCCCAAGAAAAAAGAGGGTTGGCCAGCCCTCAGGGCTTCCTGACTGAACTGGTCCACACGGCCAGGAAATTCCCGCATCCGGTCCAGAAGCAAGTGATGCCCATGACAGTGCAAGGATAGATAACTTCATGCAAGAACAAATGTGCATGTGAATATATACATGCATGAGCAATTAAACGTATGTGTGAATGCTTACTGCACAGTCGAAGCTGAACGAAGATATGTAACCGCAAACTGCATTCATTGATGCATTTATCAATTAATGCATTAATGAGTGGACGAATTGAAACATGTTAGCATGCTCATCTGTCTATATGCAAATATTTTCAACTCATGAGCGCATATTTAAGTAATCCTACAAGCACTATTTATGTCAGCTTATCAAGATATGGACATTATGTATGATAGAACTCACTGTTCGTTTTTGAGAGTTTAATTCATGTGATTCTACTTTTGTAGTTCGGAGATGCATATATTATATAGAGTAATGAATGAATGCATGCATGCAGGTGGATAAAGAGAAATAAAAAACAAGAGAGAGAGGGAGAGAGAATATATTTAAATTACAGAAGAATATATACCAGAAAGATTGATTGAAAAGCACTTAAAATATCAGGCCCGCATCTTTGAACACGTGCACCAAGCATCGCCTGAAAAAAAAAAAAGCCATGAAAAGAGATAGAACTTATAAGAGTTATTTAGATCACACAATTCAGCAGGTGGCATATTTAAGACCTTCAAAGCAGCCAGGAGAGCAACACATGCATTGATAATACTGGTCAAATACCAAAATTGCTTCTTTCCGGTTTTTAGGCAATTGTCAATTTTAGAGAGAAGCAAGGCCTTCCCACCATCATCCTACAAAGTGGTTTAAGATGAACTAAAATTAAACTAGAAATGTCAGAACAGCATGAAAAAAAAATTTGTCAAAACTGGCACACACCTGACAGGAAAAGATAACACCAAAGCACAAAAGCCTTTGATTGACTAACAATTGGCTTATCGAATATGGCTTCAACAAATAAAAAAAATTGTCCACATTAGTAAAAGGAAACAAGAACCAAACAGACATGACAGATTCTAAGAAAAAAAAAAGCAGTCCAAATACCAAAGAAATGGAGTTATTTCTGATCAACAGATAAAACGGGCAATAAAGATCTCATCCTCCATTGTAAAACTCACATAACACAATAACACCAATTAGATCGATGACTTCAAAAATTTTCATTACTAAAATGACGTCACATAATTTCATACAGGTTGACAGCTGATACCACTTTATTTTAATTAGAATAACGTTAGTCATTTTGTATTTAGGGACTGTTTGAGGCGGCTCCAGCTTTGTGTAAAAGTAATTGTAAGGATTTTGTGGGGAAAGAAATTATGGTTATTATAAAAATTTTGTTTTCCGAAAAGATAAACAGCAACTTTCTTACAGCTAACACACAATGGCAGCTCCAGTTGCAAAAAAACAGCTTCCCAGCAAAAAAAAAAAAATTCTAGAAAGCAATAAAAAAGAAATAACCAAACAGATATGTAGTGGAGGTCTGAAAAGCAAAGAAACCTAATTAGTGCAGCCATTGCTGCATGCACGAGATTATTATGATGTTAATTAAGTTAAGGAACACTTCAATAGCAAACCATAACCCAAGCTCAAGAATACACTCTTATCACCAATTCTGAATTAAACAATTCAAAACTTGATGCCAATGGATACAAAACACAAATGACTAAAAAACTGATTTTGAAATATACTCAAAATTATTAAAGAAAATATCAAAATAGTATCAAGTCAAAATATGCTTTATATCCAGCAATGAAAAAGAACAAAAATCACTATCCCAATGGAAATACGTTCAATGATTTCTTATTTACTTTTCTGCATACAATTGCAAGATATATACCTTCAGAACAGTTGGCAGATATTAGAAAGGGAACAGATGCCAAAAACATAAAAAGCATCCAAACTAAAGACACTACCTGTGGAAAACTAGCAAGTTGCCCTTCCCACACGCATGGCATAAGCCCATCATCCTTGCTTCCATCAAAAGATCGAAGTTCATCTTCAAAGCTATCCCTGAATATACCACGAGAGGCTGTGATGCTTATCAAAAATAATAGATTAATCACAGAAATGATGTGGGGACATTGTGAATAAGTTCAAATTATATTGTTCAACATGTTATCTCCAAAATGAAATTGAAATCAGTAGAATTTGAAGAGGTCACCTTCCAGGAATCCAAGGACCCAAACATGCATCCCGTTTGTCTAATAAGAACTTCAAGCATGAACTTTCTTCACACACAGAAGGTTCACTATCCAATCAGAGAACAGACCAATGAAGTCGGTGAACAATAACAGAACATTTAAGGAATAAAATTGTCCGAGATACAGCAGTCAAGCTTTATATTTTTTTAAGGAAGATTTACATATATACCACTCAATTCATATCTATTTACATATCAAGCACCTAAACTTCAATTTTTACATGCATGCCACCTTACCAATGCACCAAAAGGCATATTTCACATTTTAGAAGTTAGAAACGTAGTACTTGTTATGTGATAAGAAAGAATTGGGCGGCATATGTTGCTGTAAAATAAAAGAAGAGGAAAATTAATTATAAATTAAATGGTAACGTCTCACCTGTTCCCACCTGTTGAAGTGCACACTCTAATAACTGATAACCGTTCCCTCTCCTCCTCAGTTACAAAAAAAAAACAAAGCCCAATGGACTCCAAAAGTCAGGATCCGCCCCGAGGCTTGGAATTAACCAAGGCAGGCAAAGATAGTCAGACAGTGTGAATTTAAAAATTTTGCTATTCATTTTCTCTAATTTGTTATTAACAGAAGAAAGAGCCAATAATCAAATTAACTTAAGCCGTTAAAATTAATTTTTGCATCGTTGATGGTTGTCTGCGTTATCTATAAATATTTTCCTTTCTATCGTTCATTTTCAATTACTTAATTAACCTGAAAGGTTAGTTTAAAATAATAATGAGCTAAATGAGTCATTGAATACTCAAATTCCTAAATTACAGCAATACAAAGAAAAAGAACAATATACATGTTCGTTAATCTTCTTTATAAATCAATACAAATGTTTAGCAAGTTATTCAAATAGTCTATATCAATACAAAATTAATTTCATTTAATATTTACATAACCGTCACAGGAGGCACCGTCCAAAAATTATATCACTTAAGGTACTTCAATTTTAATATCAATATCATTTTTCATTTACGTGCATGGTTACATTAGTGTTTCCTCACTAATACCATCAAGAGGTGTTTTATTATAGTCAAGCATGCACATACAAGCATAATATAAATCATTTCGTTTACATTCTAAATATCATCCAATAACTATCTTTTATAACATGCATGTGTAATACATAAGTATAACTATGCAAATCATTCACTTTTATTTCTAGATAATAAAATTAAATAAATGAGCCAAAATAATCATATTCTAATTGCAATAACAAGATATCTTGACAAATGCAAGAGATTTAGAAAAATACAACATTATTACCATAATTACGAAATAAAAGTACTCCCCAAAATACTAATTGTTTTGCCTTGATGTCAGCTCCTCTAAAATTGAGTGTCTAAAATAAGCATGGTACTCACACTTATTACGTTATAAAAAAATAAATAAGTTACCTCATTTTTATTTTTTCTAATCAATACTATATATATATATA